ATTATCCACTGTTAGCGTAACACACCCGCTTTAAGGACACTGACTGCTATTCAATCTATAACAGTAAAAAAAGTTTTTTGTTTTTAAATCCAAGCTATTGTGACACAGGATCTAATTAGTGGCACTTGTCAGCGTATCCACTGTTAGCGTAACACACCAGCTTTAAGGACACTGACTGCTATTCAATCTATAACAGTGAAAAAAGATTATTTTTTTTTTAAATCCAAACTATTGTGACACCAGATCTAATTAGTGGCACTTGTCAGCGTATCCACTGTTAGCGTAACACACCCGCTTTAAGGACACTGACTGCTATTCAATCTATAACGGTAGAAAAAAGTGGATTTGTTTTAAATACAACAAGCTTTTGTCTCCCCAGATCTAAGTGGTGGCAATGGTCACCGTATCCACTGTTAGCGTAACACACCCGCTTTAAGGACACTGACTGCTATTCAATCTATAACAGTGAAAAAAGTGTTTTTTTTTTTAAATCCAAGCTTTGTGTCACCAGATCTAAGTGATGGCAATGGTCACCGTATCCACTGTTAGCGTAACACACCCGCTTGAAGGACACTGACTGCTATTCAATATATATAACAGTGAAAAAAGTGTTTTTTGTTTTTAAATCCAAGCTTTGTGTCACCAGATCTAAGTGGTGGCAATGGTCACCGTATCCACTGTTAGCGTAACACACCCTTTAAGGACACTTTGACTGCTATTCAATCTATAACAGTGAAAAAAGTGGTTGTTTTTTTTAAATACAAACTTTGTGTCACCAGATCTAAGTAATTGCTTAATGGTCACCGTATCCACTGTTAGCGTAACACACCCGCTTTAAGGACACTGGCTGCTATTCAATATATAACAGTGAAAAAAGTGGTTGTTTTTTTTTAAATACAAGCTTTGTGTCACCAGATCTAAGTGGTGGCAATGGTCACCGTATCCACTGTTAGCGTAACACACCCGCTTTAAGGACACTGACTGCTATTCAATCTATAACAGTGAAAAAAGTGTTTTTTGTTTTTAATACAAGCTTTGTGTCACCAGATCTAAGTGGTGGCACTGGTCACCGTATCCACTGTTAGCGTAACACACCCGCTTTAAGGACACTGACTGCTATTCAATCTATAACAGTGAAAAGAAAAAGTGGTAGTTTTAAATCCAAGCTTTGTGTCACCAGATCACAAAGTGGTGCTTAATGGTCACCGTATCCACTGTTAGCGTAACACACCAGCTTTAAGGACACTGACTGCTATTCAATCTATAACAGTGAAAAAAGTTTTTTGTTTTTAAATCCAAGCTATTGTGACACCAGATGTAAGTGGTGGCACTGACTGGGGAAATGGGCACAGTATGCACTGAGCCTGACACAGAAGCTGGCAGCAGTGGCAGACAACTGACTGCTATTCAATCTATAACAGTGAAAAAAGTTTTTTGTTTTTAAATCCAAGCTATTGTGACACCAGATGTAATTGGTGGCACTGACTGGGGAAATAGGCACAGTATGCACTGTGAGCCTGACACAGAAGCTGGCAGCAGTTTAAGACAACTGACTGCTATTCAATCTATAACAGTGAAAAAAGTTTTTTGTTTTTAAATCCAAGCTATTGTGACACCAGATGTAATTGGTGGCACTGACTGGGGAAATGGGCACTGTGAGCCTGACACAGAAGCTGGCAGCAGTGGCAGACAACTAAGTGCATTTACATTAGATAGAAAAAAAAAATCCAAAAAAAGCATACCCTTATCCCTAACCTAGCTATGCTTTTCCCTATCTTATGAACAGCAGCTACACTTTCCCTCCTCTTACTAAGCATGCAGCTTGAGAATGAATCTAAAATGGATGCTGTCCAGGAGGTGGGAGGGTCTGCTAGGGAGGGTGTGCTGCTAATTGGCTGGAATGTGTCTGCTGACTGTGAGGTACAGGGTCAAAGTTTACTCAATGATGACGAATAGGGGCGGGTCGAACCGCGCATATGTTCGCCCGCCGTGGCGAACGCGAACATGCTATGTTCGCCGGGAACCGTTCGCCAGCGAACCGTTCGGTACATCACTACTCTTTAACTATGATTGCCTTGAACCACTACACTGAGCTATAATGATTATGTTTCTTAGAGAGTTCCTTAAGCCCTCATATCATCAATACTATAATGAAATATGAGGCATTATATATCAGCAGTCCCTTGTGATGTATTTGTCCATTTCAATCACCTGATATTACATATGTCAAACTTTTACACTGATTGATCTGTGTAGTGGAGAAACCAAGGGAATTTAGAACATTAAGTGATAAAACAGTTTAACAGTGGTCTTGTCGCTTCCAGTAGCACTGAGCATGAAATCAGCCAGCAGGCATTTATGAACTTTTGAAATTCATTCATAAGGGATTCGTGTGCTATTTCATGCTATTTGAAAGGTGTTCAGATTGATTCAGATGGATTTTGATTCAGTGTTCATCCAGACCAAATTGGAGGTAGGAAGCAGTTTGCTGATTTCATGGAATAGTAAATCTACTGAACTACATCTGAAATGCACCACCCAGATTTCCCCAAATATGTACTACATGTTTTATTCCTAATTTGCTTAGTCAAAATTAGTTTTTATTGAATAACATTGTAAATAATCATATTCCCTTGCTTATTAGTGACATTTAATTATTTTATGTTATCTCATATCTAGTACAAAAATGAACTCATTAGAGATTCTTTACTTTCTTTAATTTCCTTTCATGCTCTTTACTCTTTTTTGCTCCTAAGAAGTATATTTAGGACGTGCTCTTCATATCTGAGAGTCAAATAGAAGCGTCAAATACTGTTGTTACAGCGCAATTGTAAACATTCTTATCTTCTGGGTGCTAATCTGCTAAATAGTAAATTTGGGGTGTGCTCTTTATATCTGAGCGTCAAATAGAAGCGTCAAATACTGCAGTTACAGCGCAATTGTAAACATTCTTATTTTCTGGGTGCTAATCTGCTAAATAGTAAATTTAGTTACAGCGCAATTGTAAACATTCTTATTTTCTGGGTGCTAATCTGCTAAATAGTAAATTTGGGCCCTGCACTTCATATCTGAGAGTCAAATAGAACCGTCAAATACTGTGTTTACAGCGCACTTTGACAAATTCCCATTTTTTTTGCTCCTAAGAAGTACATTTGGGGTGTGCTCGTCATATCTGAGAGTCAAATAGAACCGTCAAACACTGTGCTTTCAGCGCACTGAAAAATTCAAATTGTAAATTTGGGGTGTGCACTTCATATCCGATAGTCAAATAGAACCGTCAAACACTGTGCTTCCAGCACACTTTGAAAAATTCAAATTGTTTTGGGTGCTAATGCCAAATAGTACATTTGCGTCCTGCGATGCACTTCATATCTGAAAGTCAAATAGAACCGTCAAACATTGTGCTTATAGCGAACTTTGAAAAATTAAAATTGTTTTGGGTAATAAAAAGTAAATTTGGGGTGTGCACTTCATATCTGACAGTCAAATAGAACCGTCAGATACTGTGGTTACAGCGCAGTTTGACCAATTCAAATTTTTTTTGGGTGCTAAATAGTACATTTGCGGCCTGCACTTCATATCTGACAGTCAAACAGAACCGTCAAATACTGTGGTTACAGCGCAGTTTGACCAATTCAAATTTTTTTGGGTGCTAAATAGTACATTTGCGGCCTGCACTTCATATCTGACAGTCAAATAGAACCATCAAATACTAATATAACAATATTGTAATTCGGGGGCAATACCCTCACAAGTCAAACTGAGAGGTCCGTTTATAGGGAAAACTGTTGCCTGGATACAATTCTAAAACAATTTCCATATGTCCTTTGCAGACTTTACATGCTGGAAAAACACGGGTTCCAACTGCTGTGGCTATCTGCGAGGTGTGGGTGGAATATGATGTGGAGGATGATGAGGTCCTAGACCCCACATGGAATCAAGGTCATACGAGTGACGTGTGCAGTTTGGAGCAAGAGGTGCTGGTCGCACAGAGGCACCAGCACAGCATAAGAGGGAGCAGGGTGCAAAAGCGGAGCGCCTAGTCCCGTAGCGCTCGTTGGCATGTATTATCTTTGGAATTCCCACAGTTATCCAAGTAAGATTTAATGAGCCATTTGCAGTTTCGCAGTCCGGTGACCGGGACCCAGACACTGTTTGGGCGGCGGTCGGACGACCCGGACCCAGTATGCCTGATGTTGAAGTTAGGAGTCACAGTGAGGGATGGATTAGCTGGGTCTGGTGCAGGGTAACCGCATGCCCCCTTGTGTTGAGCACCAGCGTTTGTGTGGCCACATACCAGGACCCTGATGCAGCTTCAGTAAAAAGAGTACTGGATACCAGAAGCCATCACCAGACTGGTCTGCAATTTGGAACAGGATGTGACATTCACTGTAGCGGCTGTGCGCGCTTTCGGCGTTCTCACCCTGCTGCTGCTCGCCTGTCTGCAGCTTAACTTCTCACCTCATATGCGACGTGCCCACAAGGTGGAACTCCACCTTGCACATGCTGGAGAGATTGTGCAAACAGCAGCAGGTGACAGTGGAGTTTCAGCTGCAGCACGCACGGGTCAGTCGCTCTGCACCAGACTTGCCCTCCAATTGATCAGAGTTAAAGGATTTCAAGTGGACTCATTACACTTACAGGTATTGTATTGTTATTCGTCGTCACTACCTCCCCGGGTCGGGAGTGGGTAATTTGCGCCCCCCTGCCTTCTTTGGATGTGGTAGCCATTTCTCAGGCTGTCTCTCCGGAATCAAACCCTGATTCCCCGTTACCCGTTGTCACCATGGTAGGCTCAGAAAGTGGCATCGAAAGTTGATAGGGCAGACATCCGAATGCAAAGTCGCCATCACAGGGAAATGCGATTGGCCCGAGGTTCTCTAGAGTCACCAAAGTGCACCAAAGTGCCTGTGCAACTATAATGTCAACAGCTACTCTGCCGAACGGATCTTCACTAATAGGTAGGGAATGGAGGGGGGCCCTGTGCCAGTCCCTTCCCACTCTCTGGCAGACATCTGGCAGTACTGCCTCAGATCTTGAGAGATGCCTGGCCAGAAGAAGCTGTGGGTGAGCCGAGACGCTGTCTGGCTCCTGCCCAAATGCCCTGCCAAGGGGATATCATGAGCTAGCTTCAGCAGCTCTTACCAATACTTCTTGGGTCATTGGGGAGCCCATTGAAAAAGTGCTCTAGCATGACGAGCTGGGTGATCTCCTCCAGGAACTTGGCTTGATGGGAGTTGAACCAGTTCTGGGTGGCCCTTGTGATGCGGCATGCCCACTCCGCATGGGAGTCCTTCTCCCCTTTCCGGGTCTGCCTAAACTTTTGGCGGTATTGCTCGGGGGTGACCGAATACCGGGCCAGGAGAATTTGTGTAAATCCAATCTGCCCTTCTGGTACAGCCTGGTAAATATCCGCTGCCTTCCCCACTAGTTTGCTGGCCAGGATGGTGACCCAGTCGCTGGAGTCCACATCTTGGAGTAGGCACTGGCACTCAAAGTCTTGTAAAAAGTAATCGATGCCTTCTTCTGCTTCTTTGAAATCTTTGAAGGTATTGTATGGTAGCTTGAGGGCCAGGGTGGATGTGCTTATGGCACCCTCTGCTCCCTTCTTCCTTCATCTGGGTTCACGGAGGTCGCCCACTGTCTATTGGCAAGGAGGCTTGCACATCCAAAAAGGTCCTGCTGACAATCTCCTCAGAGGGTGGCTCTTGGTAATAAGCCAGGCTCTGTTCCACCTCCTTGCGCACTTCCTCCTCATCTCCGGCCCCTGGCTGGGGTTCATTGCCTCACTGTGTGCCTGTTCGTCCTCCATGAGCGCAGCAGTCAATTCGGCCTTGTTACGCCCACCAGGCGTTATTCCTCTGGCTCCACACAAGTCCTGCAGTGTAGATCACTGTAGTCCATGTGTCTGTTGGCAGGGACATGGGATCCTGCCGCTTGCCACCAATTGAAGCGGGTAACAGGTGGTTATCCCCTTTGATAAGAATAGGTCAGACCCATTTCCCCAGCAACCGGATGGGACACAGTTCCAGGATACAACGTTTGACAATCTTTATTTGGGTACACAGCTTTGCCTCCTGTTGCCCCCTCCTCCTATTCCGTTTCCTCCTCCTCTACCACCTCCTCATCCGGTCAGCGTAACACCTTCACCACCAACTTCAGCACAGCCAAGAGGAAACGACAGCAGGCTGTTTGGGGGAAAAACCCCACACCGCACAGGAGCTGCGGACGGGCATGGAACAACAGATCGATGAGTGGTTGTTGCAACTGAGCTTCAAGTGGTGTGCGATAATGGGCGAAATCTCGTAGCAGCTCTGGGCCTAGCCAGTTTGATGCACATCCCTTGCCTGGCGCATGTGCTGAATTTGATGGTGCAGAAAATCATGAAAAACTACCCAGATATATCAGAGCTGCTGCACAACGTGTGTGCCGTCTGTGTGCACTTTGGGCGTTCTCACCCTGCAGCTGCTCGCCTGTCTGCGCTGCAGCGTAACTACGGCCTTCCCGCTCACCGCCTCGTATGCGACGTGCCCACAAGGTAAAACTCCACCTTGCACATGCTGGAGAGACTGTGCAAGCAGCAGCAGGCGATAGTGGAGTTTCGGATGCAGCACTCACGAGTCAGTCGCTCTGCGGAACAGCACCACTTCACCACCAATGAGTGGGCCTCCATGTGTGCCATGTTGCGTTGCTTCGAGTACTCCACCAACATGGCCAGTGCCGATGACGCCATTCTTAGCCTTACTATCCCACTTCTATGTCTCCTTGAAAAAACTCTTTGGGCGATGATGGAAGAGGATGTGGCACAGGAGGAGGAGGAGGAGGAGGAAGAGGGGTCATTTCCACGGTTATCAGGCCAGTCATTTACAAGTGGCTCGGAGGGTGGGTTCCTGCACCAGCATAGGCCAGGTATACACTTGTCCAGCATCTCCACATTGTCCCATGGAAGCGTTCAGCTGTCCATCTCCCAAACACTGGAGAGAAAGATCCCTGGCCCTGAATGCCAGCATTTCAAAATTCCTGGCCTATGAAATGCTGTCATTCCGTCTGGTGGAGACGGACAGTTTTAAAAACCTGATGGCTTTATTGGACTGCAAGAAATGCACCGCAGGCCGCAAATGTTTCTTTTTTTTATATGTCCCAATATTTTGGGGGCTATCCCAATTAAAACAAAATAAATAAATAAATAAAAAACAGTGTTGGCTACTTCCTCCTCCTCCACCGCCGCTTCCACCTACACCGCTACGATCACGCCTCCTCAACCTATGGGTCACTTAGTATAAACTATGTACACAATAGCAGAGGCTTGTGAAGGCCTTTTCTCCATGCATCAGGAGTTGACCTTTTCTCCATGCATCAGGACTGCAAGAAATGCACCGCAGGCCGCAAATGTTTATTTTTTTATATGTCCCAATATTTTGGGGGCTACCCCAATTAACAAAAATATATATATATCAAAAACAGTGTTGGCTACCTCCACCACTGCTTCCACCTACACTGCCACGATCACCGCCTCCTCAACTTATAGGTCACTTAGTATAAACTATGTACACAATAGCAGAAGCTTGTAAAGGCCTTTTCTCCATGCATCAGGAGTTGAGCATTTCTCCATGCATCAGGACTGTAAGAAATGTACCGCAGGCCACAAATGTTTCTTTTTTTTTATATGTCCCAATATTTTGGGGGCTACCCCAATTAAAAATAAACAAAAAAAACAAATAAAAAACAGTGTTGGCTACCTCCTTCTCCTCCACCGCCGCTTCCACCTACACTGCCACGGTCACCGCCTCCTCAACCTATGGGTCACTTAGTATAAACTATGT